ACCTACGACTCTGTGATCCGGCACTTGCACGTGAATGCTGAGTCCAGATACAACATCCAAAGTGCGCACCCAGCGGCAGAGAGCACCCAGTGTTGGGGTCTCTTTCCTGATGCGCATCTCGGCCAGCAGGATGAGAGCATCTCTGTACTTGGAGTCTGTGAGCGCCCCAGATATACGCGCAGTAAGATTGCTGCCGTCTATGGTGCCGCTTAGCCTTTACCATTGGAGCGAGCCATCTTGGACGTACCAGCTGAGTTGAGACCAGTGGTGCATGCTTGACGGAAGTCGAATACAGCAGTCCTCAGATCTTTGCATGCTTTTGACTTGATCAGGAGAGGATGCTCGGCAAGGGCCTTGAGGGTGTCCACCGCAACCTCAATCTCCTCTGGCGAGATGACCGAATGAACGGAAGCTGGCTCTAGTGGGCTTGTCTCGTGGGGTGGACTGGGAATGCCGTTTGCCTGCTTCTTGACGGCATTGGAGTGTGCCGTGGTCCGCTTGCGCTTCGCCATTCTGTATACTCAAAGTGGAAACTTGGAAGAGTCTGAGATCAGTGTAGATTACTGCAAACAAGATCGATTCTGTCGAGCCTGTAACAGGGAGGTGGCCATCGCCTCTGCGTTAAGGCCGAAATGTCCGGGTGGCAAGTCGTTGAAATCTTCGGGTCCGTGCCATTGGCGGGGCCTGGTGGGCGCGAATGTCCACTCGCATCGTGCCCCTCCACCACCATTACACAAAGCCCTCTGCCAACATTCCAAGATAGTCGCACCAATCCATATCCATGTCACCTAATCCACTTCTAGACACTTCTACGGCTGCTGAATCTTGTTCTACCCCTGGGCGATGGCCCTGGTCCAATGGTGGCAGATGCTTCGGCAAGGCTCTCAGGTTACAGCTCGTGGCGCTACCGACCAAAGGCCGAGTATCACGGTAACATGTTAGCGCGTCGGGTCGTGCAGATGGTAAAAACAAACAGTGGATCATTGCGCCGCCGAATGTATTAGTGGTGGAGAGATCTCTTCTGAGACGGCCGGTAGATATAGTCACCGCTCTTCCCCTTCTGCCATCTTCTCTCCCCAATTCCCCAATTCCTCTTTCTCTTCATCACATCCACACCAGATACCTCTCCACGCCTTCACAATGTCTACTTCCCTTACCTTCTACGATGCCACCATCCCAGTGATGTGTGGTATGTCCAAGAGCGCCATTAGCTTCCTCACCACTGCCAAAGAGGAGCTCTCAAAGGAAAACTCCAACTTACCATCCGAGAGCGATGTGCTTAATGCCCAACTCGGTGACATGCTGCCTTTCCGCATGCAGCCCATTATCCTCTGCAAGTTCCAACTCGCCGGAATTCAGAACTTCAAGCTCGCTGAATCCGCTACGGCACCAACCTTGGACCCCTCTGCCTTCTCCTCGCTCGACGACGTCATCAGCTTCTTCAAGCAGCTCCTCGCCGTCCTTGAGGCCGTTGACGCAAAGGCGTACAACGAGAGCGCTGACAAGGGCCTCGATATCGAAATCGGCCCCAAGACACTACACATGAGCTCTCTGTCGAGCTTCACAAACGACTTTGTCGTTCCCAACAGCTTCTTCCATCTCAACGCCATGTACATGCTGCTGAGGAGCAAGGGTTTCTCCCTGGGCAAGACTTCATACATTGGTGGTTTCATGTCTGAGCAGTCGCTCAAGGACTGGGCACCACTGAGGGCTTAAGTTTGGCAAGGAAAAATAAAATAAAATAAAATAAAAACAAGAGAAGGATAATTGGAATGGATACGTGGATCGAAATGGTTACATAGCGAAGGCGCATCGTCGCGCTGTTGTGTGGACAAGGAGCCTAGAAAAAAACCAAGTAGAGACCAACACATCACCAATAGACCTTTATCAAATCACAAACATGTCACTGCTTCTATCCATACTGTGCAAATGTCAGGAGAAGACTGCTTATATCATCAATTGCATGCATTAGATTCACTTATCAAAAGAATCCCTCAGCTTCTCAAACCGCTCCCTCGTCTCCTCCCCAAGCTTGCCCTCGACATCCGCAAGTATCGTACACACCAGACTATAATTGTTGCAGAGGAACCTGTCCTTTTTCCTAGCATCGTTGATCCCTTTGCTCAGCTTAGTGAGGTAAGCTTCGTATTCGCTCCTCAGTCGTGCCACGGATACACTGACGGGCTCGTCGTCGCCTGCCTCTGACGAGAGCGCCAGTATGCCCTGCAGTAAGTTTGCAAACTTTTGCGTGAGGGGCGTTGGTGCCGTGGAGGCTGCGCTGGAGGAGCCCGAGGATAGCAGAGCGGCGCCGGTGGAGGGGCGACCGGGTAGCGAGGTGGTGATTTTCTGGAGCGAAGTACAGTGCATGTCTAGGACTTGCTGGAAACGCGGCCATAGCAACATGTTTGTTGCGTTGATGTAGCCCTCGACTGTCGGTACTTTTCTCCGCTGGAGCTCAAAGGCAAAGTGTTGGTTGAGGCGTACGCAGAGGAGGATACCTAGGGTGTCGGTGGTTGATTCCACGAGTGATTTGGTAACTGCTTGTCCTACTGCCAGCGTGGGATCAAAGATTGAGTTGAAGGTCCTCGAGATGGCGTGGAAGTTTTGTGCGGGGGCAAAGTATGTGGAGACAAAGGTGTACTCGAAGCAGGCGTTGTCGATTAGGGCAAGGTTGAAGCTGCGGAAGGGGACTTCAAGATAGTGGGGAGACTTTTCGTCTTCAGCGACATTTGCTGGTAGAGCATTGGCTGAGGAGCTTTTCAACGCGTCGCGTCGTCGTCCAAGTGAAAAGGCGTCGTAGGATGTGGGTGCGTTGCGGGACTGGCCGAGCAGCGTGCCGCTTCTTCTGGCGCTGGGGTCTTCGCCCAAGATGTCGTATCTGTCCATGGCATGGACTTTGATCTTCTCAAGTGCTGTCCTGTAGCGCGTGAAATGGTTGAGATAGTACCAGCGCATTGTGTGAATGTATGCTTGGGCAATCTGCTGCGCAAGCTCTGCGTGGTGTCTTGCGAGGAAGGCGTATAGATCTTTGAATTTCAAGAATGCTTGCTGCTGGATGACTTGTGCATTGATAGATGGGGAGCGGATAGCCTTGATCTGCGCCACTATGTAGTCTCGCACTCGCTCGACGGCGCGATGGATGAGGTCGCCTAGCAAAGGCTTGACGTCTTTGACAGCCATCAAGTCTGGATTCTCTTGGGCTTTGTCACGGATAGTCTTGGACCGTTTTTCCACTTCTGCAAGGGCACGCACGAAGCCTTCATCAACAGGTCCTTCAGCAATCTTGCGCACAACAGCTGGGGAGATGCTGATGTCTTCTACGGCGGGCCCCAGCAGCTTCTCGACCACCTTGCGATTTTCCAGCTTCGTGTTAAGCGCAATCGATCGGTTCTGGAGAGACTCTATCTCTGCAGACACGGCCTCGAGATCAGACTGGAAATTTGTAAGGTTGGCTTCGACCGACTTGAGCACTTCATCGCATGCCAATATGGACTTGTGTAGGTCCTCAAACGTGTCTTTGTCCTTGTCATCTGGAGGCACAATGAGCAAAGACTTGCGATGCAAAACAACAGCACGTACATTCTTCAACTGACTGTGCGCTATATGTATGTACAGAAGTAGGCGGCTGTCGCTCAGCAGGCTTGTCAGCGACGAAGTCTTGCAGGCTCAGGCCCTGGAAATCAACATGCTCGTCCAACTGCTCCGGCTTCTCGAGCACATCCCCGCCACCATGTCCGTTTGTCGTCGGCCCATTGCGTGGCGGCCCTCCCATTATAGCCTCGAGTACGTGTATAGGATCGGGGACGTTTGGCGGCGCGCCGCCTGTCTGTCGCCTGCGTAGTCCGCCACTAGGCAGGCGTTCAGATAGCGGCAGGCTTGCGGTGGAGGCATTAGGGGATACGAGCTGTGTCAGCGAGGAGGAGCGCGGGGTTAGGCCAGGCCTCACGGGCTGGGCCGAGACTGGATAACCTCTTCGGGGAGCTGGTGAACGGGAGTCGCGACGTGGAGGCGGCGTGCCAGTGGGTGTCGAGTACTGAGAGAGCCTGTCCAAACCCCACATGGCGATGTGGTAAGTAGGAGCAATGCAACAGCAGCGGGCGCACTAAAGAATTCAATCCGACACAAACAGGTAATGGTGGTGGTGGATGTAGTATGGTAGTCGTTGTAGCAGTCGGGGCTTGGCGCTGCTAGAGCCTCCGTCTGTTGTTCCGGCACAAGCCCCCTGGCAACTGACACAGTATAGTGTCAAGAATGCCTGCACGTAGTACCTAGAGCAAGAATACCTATTAGGGGGGGGGGGTTGAAAAATCAATAACATCGCTCTTACCATACGTTGTCAGCAGCCGCCTTGGTCTCTTTGCTGGCGAGGTATGATTATAGGGCGGAGCACATTGACTACAGTATCCTATCAGAACACTGGTAGTATTAGTAGCATTCGACAAAGTACGCTCATGCGATAGACTTGATGGCGACCCCACTTGTTACGTAGGTATCCCGAAGACCCTAGAGGGAAAAAAAGAGGGCCTGAACCAGTATTGCAGATTGCTGATAGAAGGGGAATTATCTATAAGTAGAGGGGAAGAAAAGTGTCAAAGATGGGGGGTGCTAGATGTGTAGAGTACCAACAAGGCACAACCATGGTATTTTTTAACAGACGCGCGCTTCTTTGGGTTGCCCACAGACATGGGCAAGTAAGGGATGCTAGTACATACTAGAACACAAGGGGTATACTAGACACGGGCTGAATAATACGACGATTCGACGGCGGAAAGGAAAGCCTCCCACGCCGCCCCTCCCGACAAGGCTGGCATCTCGGCCACTGGTCTGTGCGTGGCGTTAGCGTCTGTCCAAAATCAAAAATGCACACAAACGCTGGCTGGCTTCTCTCTCCCATCCCCATTAAAGTACCGCCGCCCACTCCCTACTGCTTTTCGCCCAGCAGCCCGACTTGAGCCTCTTCCTTCTTCCTCACCCGTCGCTTTCAACTCTCATTCATCACCATGGCCGACAACGACGCGCAGGTACGTTTTTTCTTGAGGCTTCAACCCCGCATGTGCTCTCTTTACCCCACCTTGGTCGACCATCGTCGCCGCTTGCGCCTCGCCGTCTCACCCTCGTGCGCTACCACTCCTTCTCATATGCTAATGGCCTGCTATAGCATGAGCACACCTTCGACAGCGCCGATGCCGGTGCTTCCAAGACCTACCCCATGCAGTGTTCTGCTTTGAGGAAGAACGGTTTCGTCTGCATCAAGAACCGCCCCTGCAAGATCGTCGACATGAGCACCTCCAAGACGGGAAAGCACGGTCACGCAAAGGTTCACTTGGTCGCCATTGACCTCTTCACCGGCAAGAAGCTCGAAGAACTTTGCCCTTCCACCCACAACATGGACGTTCCCAACGTTACGCGCCGCGAGTACCAGCTCGTAAGTAGCCCCGCACATGTTGCGACTACCCCTCGTCTAACAATACAAACAGCTCGACGTTACTGATGACGGCTTCCTTTCTCTCATGACCGACGATGGTGCTACCAAGGACGACGTCAAGATTCCCGATGGTGAGGTTGGCGACAAGATCACCAAGCTGTTCACTGAGGAGGGCAAGGACACTAGTGAGTTACACCTGGGAAGCCCATACCAAGACTTTTTACTGACCATTTACTCTAGACGTCATTGTCCTTACTGCCATGGGTGAGGAGGCTGCCATTGACGCTAAGGAGGCTCCTAAATAAATGATCGGTTGGTTTTGTAGACTGTTTGGCAGGATGCGAGGCGCAGAATGTGAACAGCTTACGGATGGGGCTGCAACACTCTTTGCATGCATTTTGCAAAGTTGCACCCTTGTGGCAAACGAAGCATTCTCCTCGGCGATTTGCGCCGGGCGACCGGTGCTGGACGTTCTTCGGACGGATTTGGTTTCTTTGAATTGCCATGTAGGGGAAACATATCATGAATCATTTCCCTGTCTCCAAATATCACTTACGCTTATGGCAATGAATAAAAGGTGATGCTGTTATGGTAAATGTCGAGCCCCTCATTGGCTGGGAAGGGAATTTTCGTTTTCGCGCTAATCAACAGCGATCTTCTACTTTGTCAAAATCGCCACTCACCACAACGTGCAACTTTAAACATATGGTGTCCGTGCCAATACTAACCTTCACATGTCAACTCGAGCTAGACTGCGTATATAGCAGTATTATTGGCTAGGCAGCGCATCTTGTCTATTGCCGACAACGCTTAGTGCATCGGCCTTAGTCAGTTCGATTAGCCCGAGATAGACAAACTACCTTATCCCTATGGCAATAAAAGGTCCCGTGTGCGGCATCGACAACTGCCGGTCAAGACGTTACGAGGAAGGCGAGGATGCACATCTTTACTGCGAGAACGGACATCAGCAAGCCGGTGTAGTGCACGGGGAAGACGACGACGACTATAGAACAGCCTCCCGGACAGTCACACGCAAAAAGAGAGATGTGGAAGAAGATGGCAGGACAACCAATAAGATCGCCAAGGGCACACAGGCTTTTGATCTTTACTTGAAGTGTCTGCAGCTCATATTGCGCCACCAAATATGGTTCCTGGTGCAAAACAAAGGACTACCTGCCGAACTCGAAACGGTGGTTTACGACCTTTGGGCATTACGTATCGCTCAGCTCGAAAGCAGAATCGCCTCCAACGAAGATCCAAATGCAGACTCACAACCCCAACCACAAACCTTCAGCACTCTAGAGAGCGAAGATGATCTTACAGATACCGAGAAAGGCCATGTTCATGGCAAAAAGAGAAAACGAGGAAAGATGCTATCTACTGCTCCAAATCTCAACGACTGCCTCTTATTGTGCTATCTTGGTATCAAAACATTGAGGTTACCCGTCACGCCGGGTGATATTCATGCATGGGTCACGGATAACAAGTTGCCTTATTGGAGGGCCATCAAGTTGGTACCGCTTTCTATGAGAGACCGGCTACTACCTGTGTATCGCGCGGTTCTCGACCCAAGTGCACCATTCACCTACACACGGTTCTACAGACTGCTGACAGATCTGCAAATAAGTTACGGTGCAGATCACGGTATCATATGGCCGCCTCTGAACGTTCCTTTGCTCTTGTTTCGCTACCTCAAAGAGCTCGCTTTACCATTGGAACTTTACGGTGCAACAAGGTGTCTGGCAGAATTACTAAGTTATGATTTCGCTCCACACTACGAGAACAAGAAACGAATGGGCATACGATACATTGCCGAGGCACAGCTAGCTAGCTGCCTTATTGTATGCACCAAGCTGTTATGTCCATTCAGTTCAGACCAGCTTTGCTGGAGGTTTTCGGCGGGAAAGACTGTGGCAGTGATGAACTGGGATGTGTGGTGTAAAGAGATGAGCGGTGTTAACGACAAAGATACAGATACTGGGCGCTTCACTACCGAAGAGATGGCGAAGCTACAAAACGAAGACGTATTCTCCATGGGATCTGAAGATATGGATCGGTATCTCGACTTCTATGCGGATGCATTTCTGGATGATGCAGCGATTCAACGCACAAAGCGTACAGACTATTTCCGGGAGGCTCTTTTTGACATGTTTCCCATAGAGAAGGAGACCAAACACCCGACAAAGAGCTCCTATCCCAAGCTGTCGCTGCAACAAGAATTAGGTGTTGTCAAGTCAGTCCATAGTATGATGGCGACAATACCAAATACAGAAGATGACAGCGGGCAGATTTTGAGGGCTGGACAAGCATATCGGATTTGGGAGACACAAGAAGATCTCCCTGAAGTGGCAAGGGTATTCTACGAGAAGATTGGAAGACTAGCGGGATTACCGATGGATATGCTATTGCTAGCAGTAAAATTCACGGAGGCGAGGGTAGAGCAGTGGAGAAGGCAACAAGAGAAAAACAGTGAGCGGAAATGAAATGACTCATGCAGTATTCTAATCAATCCCTCAAGTATTCTGCCCTTGATGTTACTTATCACTACTTACAGGTTGCGTTAGCAATCCGACGTAATGCGGATTGATATGTCTGCGACATCAAGAAAACGAGGCACAATAACTGCAGCTAGTTCCAGTGAGATATATTTTACAGATAAAAAGCTCAAACTAGAGATGCACATTATTTCAGGTGCTGGTGTTCCTCTTGGTGCACGATGAAAGAGAACGCACGTGAGGGGCAAGCCCGAGCGCTAGTCTCCTAGACGTTAGATCCCAACGCTCGGACGCCCACACTGCCAATTCGTCTTCCACTTCGCCTCGCTCAATCGACGAACTTCGACACCAAGATCCAGCAACACCGCAAACATGCAGATCTTCGTGAAGACCCGTACGTCGCATTATCGCTCTATACTTGCTGGGGTTATACTAATATCTCTATAGTGACGGGCAAGACAATTACCCTCGAGGTCGAGTCCTCTGACACCATCGGTACGCATGTCCTCGATCGATAAGACGACCGCAGCGCAACGCATCGCATGCAACGCTCGCAGAGACGTTAGCTTGAAAGGGAACTTGGGCTGACAAGCATGGACAGACAATGTCAAGGCCAAGATCCAGGACAAGGAGGGCATTCCCCCGGACCAGCAGCGCCTGATCTTCGCCGGAAAGCAACTCGAGGATGGCCGCACCCTTGCCGACTACAACATCCAGAAGGAGTCAACACTCCACTTGGTCCTCCGTCTCCGTGGTGGCATCATTGAGCCCTCGCTCAAGGCCCTTGCCTCCAAGTACAACTGCGACAAGATGATCTGCCGCAAGTGCTACGCACGTCTACCACCGAGGGCTGTCAACTGCGTACGTTTTTGCCTCATCACCTTTGAGGGTCCCATATTTGACGTGGGACAACTCGGCTAACGGCCCACAGCGCAAGAAGAAGTGCGGTCACACCAACCAGCTCCGCCCCAAGAAGAAGCTCAAATAGACGATTCGCTTATATTGGCGTCTGGCGAAGAGAGAGTATCGGGCACGGTGGAAACGAATTGCAACGATTGCATGCGATGGATATGAGGGCAAGGTCACTACTACTTTCACGGCACTTGCCACCCTCTGTGGCGGCGTGCTGGTCTTATCTCGGATTTGAGACTGGACGAAGGGAACTGGGCATGTAGAGTGAAATCGATCAAATTCAAACACCCACCAGCTTCGAAGCTTTCCCGTCCCTCGACACGTTCCTGGAACCTATTCAACGTGGTGATTGCGCAAGTGGCATCATTTGGCTGAATGCCATTCAGATCACGTGATGACGTGTCATACTCGTTCATTGATTACGTCATTGCTTGGAATTCTACAAAACCTGACGTTGGAAGTATGCAATTTCTCCAGGCAAGTACCAATGTGACGAATGTTATCAATTTTCTTGCCATGCAATCATGACTGATGTTGTAGAGGGGCTGTAAAAAGAGGACTAACGAGGAGCTGAGTACTAGAGCGATAAGTCTGGTTACGAAGGGATGTACCGATGAACGTGAACCAAAAAGAGTCGTGAGAATTGTGAACATCACGATCAGAAAATTGATTTTTCATGTCGCACAATCAGGCTACATAAACGAGTGTAACAAACTTAGCGAACATAGTAGGGGCTGACAAAACTATCCTTTTTTTTTCTGCAACTGACAATCTGCTCGTACTGTACTAAACGACTCTCTACACATTCAAACACAGAAAGGAGAAAAAAAACAAAAGTACTCGTGCAAAAAGGAGGAAAAAAAAAACCCAGAAAAAGGCACGGCCCCCCTGCTTTGGAAGGGCAAGAAAAACAAAAACACTAAGCCATCAGAAAAAACGAATTTGCCCCTCATTCTAAGCGTACCTGTCGTAGCCTATGTGTAGTCGTGTGTATGGACAGATGCACATTTCCGATCTGTCATGAGACATATACAATTCACACCAAAGAGCTCCTGACCGACCGCGAGGATGAAAAACATGTAAGCAGATATGGGGAAAAAGGGAAAATAAAGTATACTGGTGTCCAACACACCTGATTTTTATCCACCGTGAAACCACCAAGAAATAATCAACATGATCGTATAACTGTTGGGAGAGGAGGACGATGCATGTAAAAACAAGAGAAGGGGGATGGGGAGAAAATGAAACCCAGGAACTCCCATATACATACAACGGGAAAGCGGGTAAAATGGTATCGTAACGCCTCGCTATGCAGTTTACTAAAACAAGTGTGAAGTTTAAAAATGTTATGGGCAGCGTAAGTGCGTGTGATGTAGATTTTGTCTCCCCGGAACATGCGGGTTTACATGATGATGGCCGGGATCGGCGCCACAAAAGCACAAAGAAGTGGGGATGGATGACTGGTGACTACGTCATGAAATACTGAGAACCAAGCGGTCGTAATGGTGAGCACCTTAGGCGCGAGGCTTTTTCCAGTAGTATTGCTATGAGCGGTTAGCTACTTATCCAATGACAACATCCAAGCACGCGTGTGGGACTAGTACATACCTTGTGTGTCTTTCTGACAGATCGTAGACCAGTGCTACGTGTGCCGGCGGTAATAGTTTCTCGCCTCATCTGGTTGGTATCCATCTCGGGAACGTAGTAGAATTCATTTTCGAGGGGCTGACCGGCAGCGTCCTTTCCAGCGCGAGGAATTTCACCGACGCAGGGGGTATCATCCAAGATCTTCTTCAGATCTTGTGCCGTTAGCTGAGGTAGAGGTGTTACTACACCACCTTCTGTGTCCTTGTCTTCAGTATTCTTTGTGATACAAGCCTTCAACTCGGCTGGAAGGTTGCTGTGAATGGCGGACAAAGGCTGAGAATGAATACGAGAGAATGCCAACTGATTGATGACGTGATTCCTAATGGGAGACTCCTTGTAGCGGATGGGCTCTGCACAGCGACGTTTGGGAGAGGGCGATATTAACGGTGCACGCATCCGTGGGTTACTGGGCTGTAACGGCGTGACTGCGTTGAACGATTCGAGGCCGCTAATAAGGTTCTGACCAAACGGACCGAAAGAGTGTACAACGGGGTCATTCTCTTCGTCATTATCCGAAAACTCATCGGCAGCGTAATTGACATTTGCTTTAAGGTCGACAGTAGCGTCTGCATCACGCCCAGCCTTTGAGTTTGGAAGGGAAGGCCGGATAAAGGTTTGGTCTGCAGAATTAGGAGTGTCGATACTAGGGCTACGTTGGCCGACATCAACATCCTCAAATACCTGGACCTGTCCGGGCTGGCTGTTAGTGCCGATGGCGGCAAAGTTGGGACGACGGATAGGGCTCTGCGATACAGGCGAACGTGGAGCTAGAGGAGGGCTGGAGTTGAAGTTTTCGGGAGCACGACGACGGGTGGGAGTGGGCATGCCCTCTTCTTCCGATTCCCACGACATTTTAGAAGCGGGGACAGACGGCCAAGCGATCATGACACGGGTGTCCTGTACATCCAACATAATCGCCGTCTCTGGGTTCTCCGACATGTATGTGTCTCCCTTGCTCAGCTCAAAGATGCGGCCCTTGCAGTGAATCTTTGCTCCATTCCAACCCAGGCACTCGACCTCGATGTAGCCCTGCGGGTATAGTGTGCTTGGCGCGTGGTAGGCGGCCTGCACGTGGACACGCGAGATGAGGCGGTTGGTAGAAAGTTGGTAGTCGGATGTGTTTGAGCTGCGGCCCATACGCAGGATTTCGCCATCTGCTGGAAGGTCTACAGTGGGTACAGCACCAAGAGGGGTCCGCTCGGAGAGAGCCGAGAAGGTGCGTTCCAGGCCCGGCCGGGCATGGCGGGGCGAAGACGAAATGATGTTGGTTGACGACGTAGGCTGTGGAGTTGGGTAGTACTTGAGCTGCTTGGGGAAGGTTGGCGAGTCCTGGTCAAACTTGCGTTTGGTGGGCGATGGGCGTGGGAAGGGTGATGAGGAGAAGGGTCCATCCTCGCCGAAGGCCGGAAGAAGAGTCGGTGTGGCCTTTCTCACCCGCTCCGGCTGCAATTCAGTCGACTGCAAGGGAGACTGTGCCAGCACTTTGCTGGGTGAGGCGTCCATGTCGTCTGCTCAGCTCCTGGAACGCGAGACAGCGTGTCGACGCCTATATGGGGGCACTATAGACGTGACTAGTCGGAGACGTGACAGCCGAGAGGGGGTGGTGACGGCGGGTGCAGAGGGGGCTGTCAAAGACGCAACAGTAGCCTTGAGGGAGTCTGTGGGAAAGAGAGAAAAAAAAGCCGGTTATGAAGAGAGGAGAAAAGCCATTCAATGACGAGACTAAGCAGCAACGCGGAGAATCGTGCAAGTCGCGACTACCTAAAGCTCGGACCACGTTCAGCACCAACCCCCAGCCTCGCAATATGCCTCCTGCTTCATCTTGCCAAAGGCAGAGCAATTCATTTCATCTTTTGTACGTTTGCATCACTTGATTGCTACCAAATTGCGTCACACGAGTATATATATGCGCATATACGGACGCATGTACAACTGCCTTCTGAATGCCTCTATGACTTGGTTTGCCTCTGCGCTGGACCCCCATCCCACTTTGTCACTCCACAATTACAGCATACGAAGCACGCTTACCGGGACCTTTGACACGCAGACAAATTATTCCAACGTAACAAGAAATCAGATATTTCAAGCCTACAGCTCGCTACAGTATATAGTCCGCGGTCCTTGCGCAGGCACCAACACGCACGCGATCGACATGCAGGTAAAAGAAAAACTCTGTGCAGCATTTGACGCAGCTAAACGCGACTGCAAACACTTCCACGCCTAAAGTGGAGCAGAGACGCGTTCAGTGGAAATGGTGGTGGCCAGGCGAGAGAGTGCACGGTGGCAGCGTCTCGGCTCAAATCAATCAATCAGGGTAGCCGGATTCGAGCGATCCTTCGGTAACGTGAGCCCCCGTGTCTGCGAATCAGTGAATCTAGAAGCGTGTAAGCTCCCCCCTTCTTCCAATTGAGGGGAGTGCCTTGCAGATCGCTTGGTTAATGGAGATGTCTTTGAACAAGAAGACTAAGAGACGAGATTGAACAAAAATCAATGTTACCAGGGCAATTACGAAAATCATACAATTATTCCCCTACCGCAAGCACGTGCCATCAATTTCACTTCCTAATCGGTACTAGCGTCGTGGCTTCTCCACATAGTCAGGTAATATATCATACACTCTTTTGACCTGCTTCATTTCCTCTACTATCCAAGTCAACCGACCCATACATGTAGAAGCGGTTGTGTATAGTTTTGTCCGGCAGTACCCAGGGTACTTCCAAGGGCGACATTGACAGCGAAATGCTTCTCCCCAACCGCCCTTCGCCATTGACCACGCCAACAACAGCAATGTAGCAAACAACTATCATAACGACAACATCGATTGTACTTCATTGTAACACAAGTCTAGAGGGGCTGATGTGCCAAAAACCAAGTCATCGGAGTCAGCCAAGCGGCGGGGCTCATCACACAAGACGTTTATACAGGTGCTTGGATCTTTCCACCATACAGCTTCACTTTGGTTACAGACATCCTTGCTCTTGCATTGATTGCATTGAATGCTACACAAATATTTTTCCATTCACTTGGGCGGTACCATTCTATCGTTGTTCAGGAGCGCCCAAGTATACCATTACATAAATGTTCATCTTTTGGACTCCTGAACGCCAACACCAGATGCGCCGTATCATGCAGCGATGCTTATAAAAAACTTTAACTAGCAATCAGAGGCGTCTGTACCGACTTGAGCACATCTTGCTTCAACGCCTTCCTCTTTTCTTTGCTGATCGAGCTCTTCTTCTCAGACTTCTTGTTTTTCTTGGCCTCCCTCCTTGCTTGTTTCGCTGCAAACACTTCGTCGTCCAATAGCTCCTCTTCCCACTCGTCCCACTTTCGCTTGCGTTCTGCCGACTTTCCTTTAGCAGTGCCCTCTGTGATTGTGCCTTGGTATGGTCCGTCCCGAACCTGGCTGTCCTCCACCCACAGCTCTTCAGCAAGCCAGATGGGCAGTGCCTTTGTCGCTGGGCCCTTGACATGAAGACTACGGATGTTGCGCCAACCCTGACCGACGTGCTTGTTCACAACCTCGGATACGACCGCGGCGGTGTTCTCGGCAATTTGTTGTGGCGTCATGGAGAGGTTGGCGACCTTGATCGAGGTGTTCGCAGACGGGCTCATGCTCAGGTATGTCGAGTTGAGAGCGGATTCGATTTCCTTTGCTACACCCTGAGATGTTCCCACCACATCCTTTGATTCCTTGTTATCCTTCTTTGCGCTCTTATCGATGTGTGTGCCAGCAGTCAGGCGGATGGGAATTGGGCGCTTCGACTTGCTCTTGTAGAAAACCTTGCCCAAGAACTCTGCGACAATCTTGATAACACGATCATCGACCAAGAATACATCATACTCTGCAAGCAGTGCACGCTTCTGTTCAAATGCCTTGTATCGCTTCTTGAGCTTTTCGACGCCGAGCACACGTTGTACCTTTGCGCGGAGTGCGGCAGGAAAGGCATCGGATGCTACGAGATCCTTGTATGCTCTTTGCGGGTCTTTGGTGAAAATGCACACCCGGACATCGCTAGCGATGATAGGGTGAGGGAGCTTGCTGGGTACTGTCAGTTGTGCTCTATGCTGTACATGATGTGCGACCATACATGGCGATAGGCTTCATGCTCTTCGTATTGGCAATCTGCTTTTTTGTCGAAAGACTAAGAAAGATGGGCTCATCAATCTCCTCGGCGTCATCCTCGTCTGCTGCCAAGCTCTTTGTTGGTGCTTTCTCCTGCTTCTCTTCCACATGCTTCTTCATGTGCGCAACGAGCGCTTTCGCCGCGCGCTCGACTTGCGCCGGGTCCAGCTGGTAGGGTGTGCCATTCGCGGGTTTGGTAGTGAGAGGCGCCTCGGTCGCCTTCTCAGTCTTCTTGGTCACAGCTGTTGATTTCGCCATTGTGATGTTGTATGGTTGGTTGTGCTAGAAACTGTGCTGGAAATTTGGCTGAACTTTTTGCGAGAAGACTTGGCAGATGGTGTGCACAGACCATGAACCAGCAACTTTCTGCGCGCCCCAAACCAAAAAAACACGACAGGGTCGACCCTACATTTTGCCAAGAGTCGTAGCAGCGGGGCATCTACAGGGGCAGTCGATCCATACCTTTCCTTCTTCTGTGCACTATTAGTATTGGTCTTGATTTTTTTGTTCATCCAGATATGTATGCGACACTGCATGCGGCGTACTGAACAGTATCCAAAGAAATCTAGTTCCATCTTTGGCCATGGTTTCTTACATGCGGCAAAAGATCGGTCACGTGATATATACCGGCGTGCTTCACTACGGTAGCTTACTTGAATGTCATCCATAATGTCCGCTAACTCATCTGTTTTGAGTTACAAAATCGCAACCATAGGTCCCCTTCAAGAAGCTCTGTGGCAAGGGCAATACCGGGTGTAACGAGGTTATACATATTCAGCAAAGCACCATCATTCTATCTACACTCTTCTCAGGCTTGAGGGCTGGTCTTCCTGGGCCTCACTTCAGAGTGTCGTGACAGTTCAGTCTGTTACAAGGTTACCTTTAGTGAGGCTGATCTTGGGACTAGTCCTCGGTAATATTATCGGTTGTAACAAGATATTTGGCTGCAGATCCGATCAGATGGACGTTGATGTGTGGAAACGATCAAATCTACAATTACAGAGATCATGTATTCTGAAAGATATCGCATTTACTAGCCCTATAGTTGGTGACTTGTTCATTTCCCAATCTCAACAGATTGCCTAGAGCCTGTTAGGTAGAGCTGGTGTCTCAACTATGTAAGCTTACTTCTGAGTATATTAGGTCGGGATCACATTGACCATGTATGTTTTAATATAAAATGTCAGATTACTAGTATGAATGTAACCTCAGCTCCACCTCGACACATAACTAGCGCTACATCACAACCTCGGGATTATCTCTATATGTTTTATACATACAGTGGTCTGCCACATACGGCGGGACATGCGGGGGTACTTGTAGAAGTAATAAATGCTAGATTGGTCTGTTGTTTATACTACAAGCGTCTCCCAACATTTTACCCTTCATTAGCTATTCAGCAGTGAGAAACTAATATATTAAGACTATTGTATTCTGAGCTGACTGCAAAATAGTCCCGATACACGTAGTTGAGACCCCTGCATGCTCGGATATATGTGTCAGACCGCAAGACATCTCCAACTGTCGGAAAATATCACGGTAGTAACTTTGGCCTGGTCAGGTTTATATTTCTGGGAGATATAATTAGTGTGCGGGAACACGCATTGGTATTTGTTGCTAGCCACCTCTTCTATCACTTTCTTATCATACAACTCCAGAGATATAAGCAAAGGATACTAGGATAACAAACATGAAGCTCCATATTACCCTAGCGTTAGCACCGCTTTTCTGTACTTCTGTGACCACCTGGTTACGTTGTTCTATCTTACCTAGTCCGTTGTATTCAATTAAATTGTTACACGGGGTTCGGGTCTATACTTCTCTTGCCGGGTCCCACACTAAGGCCGGTGAGCTTTACGTTAGTGTTCCGTGAGGTTGTCTGGCGAGACAGTGGATTGGGGTGCTTTAGTAGAAGGTAACAAAGGTTCGACAACTACTAATCTATATT